CATCAATTTTAAGTAGTGTTATCTCCAGGCTACGCCTTTTATCCACAATATAAAAAATAAAGTGAAACTAATTCACTGTCTAATTATTTGTGGAATTTTGCCATTATTTTATGATGAATATTGGACTGTGCAACATAAAAACAATTTAAAAAGGAGGTTGGTGTACATGTACAAACCTTAAATACTGAGTCCAGATCAGTTTGATGCTGCAGACTCTCCTGATCAGCTCTGTGGAGACATCATGAAGACATTTGAACCATTTAGCACATAAATACAAGCCACAGATTTCTTCTGTTTCGTTATCATCTTAAATAAAACAAATACTACTGTGCTCTAGCAAACCTATTGTGTTTATTTACACTTATTTATTCATTATTTGGAGTGTGTTCTTGTAATGACCATATTATGGATATGCCCTGCACATTGCATGAACATCAAGATTAAAGAGAATTTTATAAAAAGGTGGGGAAAAAGAAATTTGTTGTGTTGAAGCGTTTTATTTAAAATGTTGCCCTTGTGTCTAAAACTACCAGCAGCAAGGAAGAGGAAAGGAAAAACAAGAATAGACTAAACGCACAGAGGTTTGGAGTTAATGAAAGTAGTTTTTATTTGAAGGTGGATTTCAGTCCCTGATTCTGTAAGATGACATGAATAAATGTACAGTTGAAAGTAAGTCAGGATGCATAATCGACATTTCCCAATACAGAAGTTGTTACAAACACTATAACAGCAAGAAGGATGTTTGCTAGAGAGAAGTGTGTGGCTCTTAAAAGAGCCTTTGTTTTGGTGAAGCCGAGCGCTTTGCGTTTACTTGGCCTTGGCGGGCTTCTCGGTCTTCTTGGGCAGCAGCACAGCCTGGATGTTGGGCAGCACACCACCCTGAGCGATGGTGACTCCCCCCAGGAGCTTGTTGAGCTCCTCGTCGTTGCGCACAGCCAGCTGCAGGTGACGTGGGATGATACGAGTCTTCTTGTTGTCGCGGGCTGCGTTGCCAGCCAGCTCCAGGATCTCAGCGGTCAGGTACTCGAGCACAGCTGCCAGGTAAACGGGGGCGCCGGCTCCCACACGCTCCATAGTTGCCTTTGCGCAGCAGTCTGTGGACACGACCCACGGGGAACTGAAGCCCGGCACGGGATGAGCGGGTCTTGGCCTTAGCTCTGGCTTTGCCTCCGGTCTTTCCGCGGCCACTCATTTTGACAGGTTCTTTTCTTCGTAGTATCGAGACTAAGAGAAAATGTGGCCCGATCAGCTCAAAGCCTCGCTTATATTTCCGCAGAGCGCGCGCAGCTTCGTCACGCACCAATCGCAGAGAGGCTTACGGCAGCGCGCAACATCAATGCACTTTTCTCCAATGAGCAGCACACACCGAGGCGGGGCGATGCTACACGTGGAGCCCGTCACCAATCACGAGCCGGAGCGGCACCGCGTCACAGCCAGTCACACACTTTAAGAGCAGCGAGTCTCCTCTGTTCGCTACATTTTCTGCTCTTATCACAGGGAAAGAAAGTGAGGAAGAATGGCACGAACCAAGCAGACTCGCTCGCAAGTCTACTGGCGGCAAAGCCCCCAGGAAGCAGCTGGCCACCAAGGCCGCCCGTAAGAGCGCCCCGGCCACCGGAGGCGTCAAGAAGCCTCACCGTTATAGGCCCGGTACCGTGGCTCTGCGCGAGATCCGCCGTTACCAGAAATCCACAGAGCTGCTGATCCGCAAGCTGCCCTTCCAGCGCCTGGTCCGCGAGATCGCTCAGGACTTCAAGACCGACCTGCGCTTCCAGAGCTCTGCTGTCATGGCTCTGCAGGAGGCCAGCGAGGCTTACCTGGTCGGACTCTTCGAGGACACCAACCTGTGCGCCATCCACGCCAAAAGGGTCACCATCATGCCCAAAGACATCCAGCTGGCTCGCCGCATCCGCGGAGAGAGAGCTTAAGCTGCACGCTCTCCTACCAACAACGGCTCTTTTCAGAGCCACCTCACTCACACCAAGAGCTCGCTCCTTTATTCTTTTTATTAGTGTACTTTTTATAAAATAAGTTTTATTCTCACTTCAATCTTCATGCTGTTTCTATACCAGAAATTACAGTTCGCATCAATGTGGAATTCACTGACTTCATTTTCAGAATTGCCTCACTATGGCCAATGTCATTGGCTGGGCCTTTCACGGACCTCTTTACGTCTTCATGCATTCTCAGTCACCAGGAAGACACTAAGGACAGTATAGATGTAAAACAAACATGCCAGCAGTTTATCTCAGTTAACGAGAGGAGCAGGCATGTGTGTGGCCCCTTCACATAGTGGACATTGAGTTGTTGTGTGGGGCATGTAGTCCATGTCTGTTGCTGTAACAGTAGTTCATGTTTAGAATAAAACATCCCAGCTCACTAACTTGATCGGGGCAATAGTGCCTAAAATGTTGCATCATTTTGCCGAGAGATCTTTTACTTTGTGGTCATCTTAGATGGACAAAAGCCACCAGGTCATTCAGTGTTCCCTTAGTGCTAATGCATGTAAGAGATGTTGGTGCACTATAACTGAAGTAATGTTAAGTCCTTAAAGTCATATTCTTTTATTGTCATGACTGTATTTGAAGCTATTTTTTATTTTTGTATGATACCTGATTTATATGGAATATGGCTGAAGTAAACTAAAGTCTAAAATACTTACTCAGTCATTTGTTTAATGGTAATTTAACATTAAGTAATTCACATATAAAACTATGAATTGTAATTTTAAATGGTTTAAAAGCATGAAGAATAGCATATGTAGGCAAGTATTTTTCTCCTGTTTTTTTTTGGTTTTTTAAATAATCAAGAAACAAAGACAAAAGCAGGGCAGGGTTCGGTGGTTGAATCATCCGTCCCCACCAATGCCAAAACCAAATCTACGCCCTTGTCAGGATCATCCCCCACCACCTGCAGCTGGCCGTCCACAACGACGAAGAGCTGAACAAGCTGCTGGGCCGACAACATCGAGGCCAAGAAGCATGAGAAAGCTGAATAAATTCCAGCCACTTTCCTCAACCGACTAACGGCTCTTGTAAGAGCCACTCACCTCTGAGAGTACACTTGATTAAAGTAATGACACTAAATCTTTAATCCATAGGTGTCAAACTCATGTTCACACTAGAACTGAAGTGGGACAGCCCTGTTAGTCTATCAGTATGTGCAACACATTTAGTTGTTTTAGTACATGAATAAAAATCTGAAATCTGTGAAGTTATTACCCAGACTTTTCTTTTTAAAAACTTGCTTTGAAACCAGAGATCTGTGTCGTAAGTGCATAAGATGACCTTGATTAGTCCCACAGGTGGGAAATTTGTTTCGTTACAGCAAAAGTGCAAAGTTATGTAGCAGAAATTAGAAAACACTGGTATGCAATAGAATACAACTGAGTAAGAAAATAGAAAAGTACAACTTTGTCAGAAAAAAGAATTGCACATATAGCAGTCTTATTGCACTTGTGTGGATGTGTGTGTTTGATCAGCTGCAAGTTTTTGTTGTAGAGTCTGACAGCAGTGGGGAGGAAAGACCTGAGTAATCTCTCTGTCCCACATCGTGGGTGCTGCAGCCTGCCACTAAAGGAGCTGCTCAGTGCTGTCCGAGTTTATGCTGTCAGAAGCATAAACATTGTTAAAACGTAAAAACAAGACAGCTGAACAGATTAAAGAGGTTCAGACTTATAATTGTAAATCACTACAAACTCTCATTTAGGTCTAAGATTCATTTAGACCAGAAAGCGAACCACAGCTGTGAGCTACATGCAAACACACTAGTGGTGTGGTGTATTTTCTGTAATTCTGATCCACTCCTTCAAAGAAGCTTTTTAAAGTTATTATTATTATTATTATTATTATTATTATTATTATTTATACCTGGAAGCACGTCAACTAAATGTAGATAACCTGGCAAAACTTCTTGTTTGCAATGTGGGTCGTTCCATCACAGATCATTTACAGTTGCCTTTGATACTTTGTTTGCAGTTTAAACAGACATGTTGCATTTCAAGTGCATAAAATCTGGGTACTAAAACATATGTTAGACAATGTTGCTTGTATGAAGGTTATGTCAGGATTGTGAGTGTGAGTAAGCCTTTCAGAAAGGAAGATCACATCAAAACTGTTATATTGATATGATTGGTGAAGATGATATTTCAGGCACACATCAGGAAGAGGTTTAAGAAGCTTCATCGGGTTTCAGCCACTCATGTCCACCTTTTACTAGATCAAAGGTGGGTTAGTTACCTAAAAAAAAAAAAAAAAAAAAAAAAAAAAAAAAAAAAAAAAAAAAACTAAGCAAGCATTTCTGCATCAAGCAGATTTATGGCAGGAATACATTTACAAATAAACTGATGAATAAGTGAAATTTATTATTTTTCTTTTGTTTGGTCTATGACTGTTCAGTGAGTATTAATAAACCGTGGTATTGAATAGGCCTGTAACCTGTGAAGTTCAGTTTGTGGTCATGACAGTTATTGTAACGTTGTGAAGAAAAGCACGCATTACAGCTGAATCTTATAGCAAAACGGAGAGTCAATATAATATTGTAGCGTCCGTCGACAGACGATCAGCTTTCCGGTTACCGGTGTTTATTCAGAATAGTAACACGGGCTACTGTGGGCCGTAGCCAACGCCAAAACAACGGGGGAAAGTGCGCTCTACAGCAACAGCACAACCCCCAACGCTCTTCTGTCTTCCGCCACACACAAACCACTCTAATGCCCGCCCCCGAACACTGTCAGCCAACCACACACCTGCTCTCCTCCAGACTTTGTCATTGGTAGCTGATGTGATTGACAGGCTAACCGGCCTCTCGACTACTGCACATTCAAGGACACTCGGTAAATCGCCATGCTGCGGATGTGGTCCAACTATGCCGTAAGTAATTGGCAATTCTGAACACAATACACTGATAACACAACAGTCAACTAACTTGTAACCCAGTCAGTTACAATATGTAGGCAATGTCAGTCGATCATAACGGAACAAAACTCTCAAAGTTAAGTGTGTGGCTCTTAAAAGAGCCGTTTGATGGATTAGGTCGAATGAGTTTAACCGCCAAAGCCGTACAGAGTGCGGCCCTGCCTCTTCAGAGCGTACACCACATCCATGGCGGTCACAGTCTTCCTCTTGGCGTGCTCAGTGTAGGTGACAGCATCACGGATGACGTTCTCCAGGAACACCTTGAGCACACCACGGGTCTCCTCATAGATCAGACCGGAGATACGCTTCACTCCGCCACGGCGAGCCAGACGGCGGATAGCGGGTTTGGTGATGCCCTGGATGTTATCACGGAGAACTTTACGGTGACGCTTGGCGCCTCCTTTGCCGAGTCCTTTGCCACCCTTGCCTCGTCCACTCATGGTTACAGTTTCTTCTTTAACGGCAAAGTCGGAATGAACTCAACACGGAGCAGTCTTTTTATGTGTGCTCAGCGGACGTAAAGGAAAACAGCCGGGCGGCTCGGAGCTCAGTGGCTCCACCCTCTCTTCTATTCTCTATGTGGAAATCGTGTCTTTTTTTTAATGACAAATTAAGTCTAACCAAAGGGAGGCTCTCACCAAATTGCACCCACAATGCCCGAGTCGAGTTCATATTTTTATTTCACATAATTAATCAATTGAAACTAAACCCAAGTGTCCACATTAGTAACAAAAACCAGACACCCTCTTAACGTTTTACCCAGAGTCTAGTGTGACCTCTGTGTAGTGTCTTCTCTGGTCTGCATTCACAACAAAAAGGCAATGGTTAGAATGCTCTCTTTTTAATGTCGTGGGCAATCAGCACAAAATCTCGCAGGAATCCTCCATTATTCTGAGGATTACATTTCCACTTGCAGTGTGATCGTATAGTGGTAAATTTATACAACCAAAATAGAAAAACTTCAACACCATTAACATTGCATGTTAAATTTCCCAAATGAAAGGAATATAGAAATATATTTTAAAGCTGTACATGAAACAATGTAAATTCTCTAAACAGTGTGGCACAGTCACATACCTGCATTCACAACAAAAAGGCAATGGTTAGAATGCTCTCTTTTTAATGTCGTGGGCAATCAGCACAAAATCTAAACGGGAAAGCAACAACAGAGTTAGCTAACTATGCTCCCATTTTGTTTCCTCTCCTCCCAATAAAGAAATCTCCCTGAAAAATAAATAAGGGGACACTCGTGGCCAGGGCCGGAACCCAGTTGTCTTCACCCTTCCCAGTGTGGTAGCTCTTTTTTTTGTGTGTGAAATTATTTTTTAACCATTTGACTTGAATTTGATTTAAGCAGATGCATATTCTTTGTGATATGACCATATGGGAAACAAATGATCATTTAGCCATTTATTTTTAGCTCAAAATGACAACATTAACACAGTAAAACAGGTCTCTTTCTTAAACAGAAGCCTGTCATGCTTAACTTTTGAGAATATAAGTAAATCTTTCTTTAAAAGAACTCTGTCCTGCTTAACTTAAAATTATATAAATTAATAGAAAGCAATAGAACAAAAATATTCTTGTAACAGTGCACATATAGTGCATTTAGTACAATTGGCTTCAGTTGAGGTATTATTTCAGCTTTTCTAATGCTAATCAGCTGCTCCTGTTTGTAAACCCGCTTGTTCCCATGATTACGCATCATAACTCATCATCATTATTCATCTATGTATTACTTTTATGTATTAGTCATCTATTTGTTGTAATCATCTATCCTTGCAGTTGTTTATTACACAAAATAAATTATATTATCACACTTCTGGCCACATAGCGCTGATATTCACTGCACATGCCCATATTAACCTTAACCAGAGGGTTTAAAAAAAACAAACCAGTGTTTACATACCATATCTGCTTCTGCCGTGGCCTGGTGGACAAGAAATTGGTTAAGGGTTCCCCGAGCTTTCACGCCCCTCATGTTCTTCATGTGCCCACCATTAGAAGCATGCCTATGGAAAAAGTGCGCCGGCACACAGTGCAGTGCGCTTTATAGGTGTTATCGTGCACTTTCCCAGCCAGGTGTTTTCCTTTTCCCATTCTTCCCTTTCTCTGAGGGGAACAAACATTGCTGCTCTAATGCTGGGCTCACACTGTGCGATTTTTGGCCCATTTTGAGCCGATTTTTGAGTCGTGCGACCGATTTGGTGATCGGCCCGATTTTGGCCTTCATCGTGCGTCGTGTAGTATACGTGGGGTAACGAGAAGCGATTAACACCTCACGAGCAGCTCCCGATCATCAATCGCTCGTGAGGGTGTCACCGCAGCTGCTCACACTGCTCACGCGCAAACACGTAAACGTCGGTGAAAAAGACGGAGCAGCACGGCTGTGCAGCGTGTGATCTGGACACAAGCGATGGAGGCACAACTTGTAGAACTTTGGAAAGCTCATCCGAGCCTTTTCGATGTGGCATCACAAAATTATCACGACCACAACAACCGTGAAAATAGTTGGATTTACATGCTGCTCAATCACAGCTGCCTGATCAATGTTTTTCATTAGCAATTTAGCAAAGTTGATGGTGGTGGTGTGTCTGTGTGAGTGAAAGACAGAGAGAGCGAGCGACAGATTTTCTGTTATAACCTTCATTTTATGGAGGCACAGTGTGAGCACTCAGGTCGCATCAGAGCATCGGGCGGTATAGTGTGAGACCTGCATCGTGACCTATGAACTTCTAACCCCTGCGAGTCAATCGTGCAGTTTGAGCAGGAGCTGAAAAATCGCACAGTGTCTGCCCAGCTTTAGGTGTACTGTCTCCGAGACTTGCACCGCAGTGTCGGCGTTTGTTTCCCTGTTGGCCATGCTTCTTGTTGTGGTCATCTGTTGTCTTCCGGTATTTTCTCCGTAAGCGACCTTTCCTCGACCAATGAGATGAGCGGTAATCTGAATTGTCATACTCGAATTGTCATAAGTGTGCTGTCAGCTCATTGGTCACAAAGCAGGAGAGGGGCTGGGAATTATGTTTTCAAACAAAGCGTTAATTCCATTAAAAGTTATAGACTACTTTTGATTCTCACTGTATTACGGGACAAAGTGCGTCCCTTATTAGCTCAATACGGGACGTGTACTTTTGTTTCTAAATACGGGACGATTCCGTATTTTAAGGGACGGTTGGCAACCCTATTAGCTAACTATGCTCCCATTTTGTTTCCTCTCCTCCCAATAAAGAAATCTCACATAAACGTGCACTCAGTTCAACATAAAGACTGGAGAAATGACCCGCAACGAATGATGTATAAACAACAAAAATAATCGGGTCAGACTGTATTACTTTAACAGCCTGCGACATGATATTTCCTCCACACGACATTTGCGCATCCCTTACCTCCATTATTCTGAGGATTACCCAGAATCCTCTGCCCTTTGTGAATATTGCAGGGTGACTTTTTCAACAGTAGGTGGCGCCAATGTCCCATTTAGTGGGATTTAACTTCAAATCTATTTAACTATGTTACACTAGCATAACTTTTCAAGCTAAATTAAAATGTATTATTAATATTAAACATGAAACTAAAGGCTAAAAGTACAAAAACAAATCCCGTTTATTTATTGTATTTGTAAGCCTGTCCTTTACAGTCAGAATTGTAATGTGAAGCCAAATATTTGCTTCACCAGGGTGAGCGCTATAAGCTCTTCTTCACATGTCATTTTATTTCTGAGAAATCTACAAGTGTATTTATTCAGTGTACAGTACAGCGATGGGGACAACCAGAGCTACTCCACCCGCAGTCACAGTCATGCTGTTCCTCATTTCCGCCAAAGGCCAGTAGATGGCGGTAGTTTTAGCCGCTCCTGTTTTCTTTTATATCTTCTTTTAAATGAGATGTAAATTTAGGAGTCCATCAAGCAACCCTTCAGATTAATTTCCTAACAGCAAAAGTGAGTGGAAGAGTTAAGTCTTTTGTTCACAATGACATAGCTGACAGGCGCTTTTGACTTTTTGTACACAGTTAATTTTGTAAAGCCCCTCGCATTGCATTCATAATCAAGTTCACTGATTGACTGTCCCGCAGTGTTGTTTTGTGTATTTCTGTTTCATCCACTTTAATAAAGTGTCCTGTGTTAAAGTAACTGTGAGTTGTGGATTCACTTAATGAATGCCTAAGTTGGGCTTTAATCGGCCTTAGACTTACTGATGTAACGGGTGTAGAGCCAGAGAGCAGCACGGCTCCTCCCGAAAACCCTCAGTGTCTATATGCATTTAAAATTGAGGGTAGGGCACCAGCGCCAGAGGTGGGTTGGAATACACCAACCATCCAAGGGCACCAGGTATCTATACTTTTGTTGTTAAAATATTACATCTCAACCAAGTACTGTATGCTTTCTATATTTTTGCAGTGTATCACACACACAAAAAAGACAATATACTGTACCAAATATTGTCAAAAAAGTAAGAAATCTTTTGGGGTGCTTTAATTCATTTTGGGCTAAAACACCCCTGAACTCAACACAAGATTTCTCCATGAACCATGATGATAGTTAAATCCAGAAAGTAATCTTTGTTTTTATATAGCAGTGAGCCTGAGAGGAGGTTTTAAAATCAGCTAAGTGAAACACAAACCTGGTCTCTGGCTCATTTGACACACCTCATAAAAAGTTTGCACACACGGGGAGTTCATTTCCTACTCATTCTTGATGAAACACACCACAGACTTGTTGTGTGGGCTCCTGTCTTACTCTTGAATAAATATACAGTAAGGGTAAGCAGGTACAGGGTGGTTTTACAGTTAGGGCATCGTCACTGATTTCTAGAATCGATTCAATTCAGATTCACAAGGTCCCGAATCAAATCAATTCGATTCGATTTGATTCAATTCGATTTGAATCTGGGAAATTTTGACAGTCAGAAATATATTAATTCAGATCAGTACATTTACATATTTTTGTATCTATAAAAACAAAGCTGACTTTATCAAAGGTGTAAGCGTCACAGCAGATGCCTTTGTGTCAAAGTAGCTGAAGATAAAACACAGAAAAACATG